TCACACGGTCTCTTCCCTCCTTCCCCCCCCTCCCCGCCCCCGGCAGCTGGTCTGTGAAGATGTCAACGTGGACCGTTTCTACCCTGTCCTGTATCCCAAGGTAAGAGCCCCCCTCCTTCAAGAAGATAAAAGCCAGCTGTGAAGCGACCGCCCTTTGCAGGAAGCAAAGACGTTTTGAAACTCAGCCTCGTGGACATTGCAGTATCTCTTAGTTGATATTTGAAGACTCTTGTGTTGTGGACTATTTCTTATCTGTTGGTTTTTGGGCAGCCTTGCGCAAACTTGGCAAGGCTCTTTTTTGGAGGATTGGAGGCTGACATTGAGCGGGGGTGGTGGTGTCCTGATGGAAAAGCCCCTTCCCCATCTCCCAAAGCTTCCCCCAGCCCTCCCTCTCTCGGTCTCTCCAACCCCCCTGCTTTGCCCGCAGGCCTCCCGCCTGATCGTCACCTTCGACGAACACGTCATCAGCAATAACTTCAAATTTGGGGTGATTTACCAGAAACTTGGCCAGGTGGGTACTCTGCACCTCCTCATGTCCGTAGGGAGCAGGAAGATCTCCTGTGTTGAGGCCTTGGTTGGGGTGGGGTGGGGTGGGGGGCAGGGGGAGGAGCCTTTGGCCAGGGTATGGGGGGGGGAAGGAATAGAGAGTGTGCAGAGTCCCCCTTCCTCGTTGGAGATCCCTCTTCCCTTCCAGCTGGGCCCTTGGAGGGAAAAGCTTGCCAAGAGATGCCAGCGTCCTCCTCCCTCCTCCCCCTGTCCTCCCCCAAAAGGCTCCAGCTGCTTCTCCAGGGAGGAGGCAGCGCCACCGGCGGTCCCAGCTGGGGAGGGTGCCCGCTCTTCCTCCCGATGCAGCCGGCGTAGGCTTCGACGGGGCGCCCTGCGCGCCACTTCCTCGGGAGATCCGGCCGGACGCTTGCTGTGCCCGGCGGCAGCAGCCTTTGAGCCGGAGCCAGACCTCCCTCTGTGCTCTCCCCCGCCCACCCCCCCTGCCCCTTGGCTGCCCGGGCACCCCCCTCCTTTCCCTGCAGACGTCAGAAGAGGAGCTGTTCAGCACCACGGAGGAAAGTCCGGCCTTTGTGGAGTTTCTGGACTTCCTGGGTGAAAAGGTGCAACTGCAGGACTTCAAGGGGTGAGTGCGGCCAAAGGGAGCAATCTCTGCTTGTGTGTGTGTGTGTGTGTAGCTGCCCACCTCCCACAGCAAATCCCCTAAGGGAGGCAGGTCTTGGCCTGAGGCCACTTTTCCTCTGGGGCCTGCGCAGGTTCCGGGGCGGCCTGGATGTGACCCATGGCCAGACGGGCACCGAGTCCGTCTACTGCAACTTCCGGAACAAGGAGATCATGTTCCACATCTCCACCAAGCTGCCCTACACCGAAGGGGACGCGCAGCAGGTAGGAGGGCCGTGGGCCAGGGGGGAAACCCCTTCCTTGCCTCCGCGCCCCCAGATAGCCGGTGAGGCTAATGTCAGGGTTCCGACGATCGCCCTAATTAAATCATGAGCCTCCAGCCGAGCTTCGATACAGTCCGAAAGATTTATTAGGAGCAACATGTCGGCACTGACCCGTATGAAGCCAACTCTCAGGCACGTAATTTACGACCACCCTGTTTCTCCCCACCCCCCTGGGTGTGTCGCAAATCAGATTCTCCAACGAAATACGTTCACGGGCTGGGTGTCATCGATCCCATTCTCCAATGAAGGATTTTAGTGGGCAGAAGATCCGGTAGCCTAGGCTACAATCTCCGCAAGATAAAGAGTTGGAATGTGCTTCTGGCTTTCATCTGCCCCCCCCCCCCCTTCCGCCCCCCCCCCCCCCCCCCAATCCTTATGGCAACTCGGAAACAGGCCTAGGGATGATTTACGAGTTGACAGCTGATCCTCTTCTCCCCCCAGCTCCAGCGGAAGCGCCACATCGGCAACGACATCGTGGCCATTGTCTTCCAGGACGAGAACACCCCCTTCGTGCCGGACATGATCGCCTCCAACTTCCTGCACGCTTACGTGGTGGTGCAGGCCGAGAACGCCTGTTCGGACAAGACCCTCTACAAGGTGACCCAGGGCGGCTTGCAGGCGGCAGGGCCGGGGGCGGGAAAGAGGGAGGGGAGCCATTTAAATGGGGGTCCTGGGTCCGGCCGTGAAGGGACACAGCCCCTTAGTCCCAATGCCAGAGGCTTTCTCTGTCCCGTGCAGGTCTCGGTCACGGCCCGGGATGACGTCCCTTTCTTCGGTCCCCCGCTGCCCAACCCCGCCGTTTTCCAGAAGGTGAGTGTGTCTCCTTCCCCCCCCCCCCCCGGGCCAGGCCCCCCTTGAGGGCATCCAAGGTTGGGTAGGCTGCAGCACCGTGCACGATCCCTCCTTCCTACCCCACCCCAGCCTAGCAGGGGAAACGCTGCTGCTCCGAGGGGCGAGAGACTCCGGGCGGGGCAGGCAAGGCTCAGGTGGGTCTGGGGGCTGCCACAGGACAGCCAGGCGCTGTGTCCTGCTGTGGGCCTCGTGCCACAGGCAGAATCTCAGCTCGGGAGTGTGTGAGGTGTGTGTGTGTTTGCCCAGCCAAACCAACCCTTGCAAACACACACACACACACGCCCACACACACATGTTCTCCCTGCAGGGGCCGGACTTCCAGGCGTTCCTTTTGACCAAGCTGATCAACGCGGAATACGCCTGCTACAAAGCGGAGAAGTTTGCCAAACTGGAAGTGAGTTTTCGCGGAAGTGGGGAGAAGGGCGGGGGGCGGGGGGAGGGCAAGAGAGGATCAGCCGGCTGGGGGGGGGAAGGTGGCCCCCCTCCCTCAGGCCCCGGCGCCGTCTCGGGGGGGCGGGGGGGGGGCCCCCCCCCCCCCGTTGTCCTGACAGGAGCGCACGCGGGCGGCTCTGCTGGAGACCCTCTACGAGGAGCTGCACCTCAACAGCCAGTCCATGATGGGTCTGGGGGCCGAGGAGGACAAGATGGAGAACGGCGGAGGGGGCAGCAGCAGCTTCTTCGAATCGTTCAAGGTGAGGGTGGGTCAAACGGGGAAGATGGAGATGCTGCGGAGGGCGGGGGAGGTCATTCTTGTGAGTGTTGCGCCTTGATCTCCCCTTCGGCCGCCCCTCTCCAGCCCTTCTCCCTCCCCCCTCCTGCCCTCCCCCGTCTCCCCCCCTTTGCCCGCTTCGCCCCCCCCCCCAAGTCCTCAGGGGGGGGGGGGGGGGGGGGGGAGTCCCGGGGAGGGGCACAGGGTGACTCAGGGTGGGCCGGCCTTCCCTTCCAGCGGGTGATCCGCAGCCGCAGCCAGTCGATGGACGCCGTGGGCCTCAGCAGCAAGCGGCAAAACACCGTCACCACCAGCCAGAGCGGCAGTTTTGGGCACCACAGCCCGGACATCGCCAAAGCCACGGGCCTAGTGAGTGCCCCCCCCCTCC